AAATCAGCTACTACATACGTTACTATGGTTACAAAGTATTCAAAAGTAAAAAAAATATTCATTGAATTTTATAAAGTATTACACGTAAAAATAAAAAGCAATTATAGGATGAAATGTGACCAAATAATAGAAAAAAGAGCCCTGAAACATATACCAAACAATACATGATATTTCATTTTGGTTGACAATGGTTGCCAAGGTTTTTATACCACAGACAGCCTTCAAAGTAACACTTTGTATGTTTAAATCTGATCCTATCTTTTACAAAAAGCACATTTCCTCATAACTAATGATCAATTTTACAAGATGTTGGTGTGCTCCAAGTTTTCCCATTTGAAAAAAATCGGATTGGATTCTTTAAATAGAGCGTTGCTATGGAAATAAGCAGAAAATATATGCTTAAAAACCTGAAAAATATTTTCTTTCCTTGGATACGTACCCTTAAATGTAGATTCCCAAAAATTTTATGATTGGTATTTATTAACAGCTAACATGACTTTTAATTTTGACTATCAACCGATCTCTAAGTGGATGCAAGAAGTTGGCACACAGGGTTTAATATTGATATAAAGTTCACAAAATCGAACATTTTCCCTTCTTGGTAACCATAGCAACAGTGTTGTTTTATTCATCAAATTTTATCAATATATGATATTCAACTTCAGTTCTAACAGATAAGTACTATTCAAGCTGAGTCCTTTAATTTGTTACTTGATTAAATGGCAATTTAATTCTGAATGCAGTGAAAAATAATTCACTTTTAAGCACTGGTACTTTGTTTCCATGGTAACACTGCAAAGTATCAATTATACCCAATTTTTCTTATGGTTTTGGTGTTGCAAGGTCCTAAAGATGCATATTTGCCAGTCTTAAATTTTCATGTTTTTCCTCAAGACAGTAGCATTAACCCAATCTTAGTTACTGGTTTTGCATGGTAACACTGTGTTACCATGGCAACCATAAAAGTTATTTATAGAAAGATATTGCTTATACTTATATATTTAAGCTCAAACGTTTTCATTATTTTTCTTAAGTCGATGATTGAGTTTGAGCATGTAACACCTACCATTAGTGAATACGGAGTGTTTTTCAGCATATTTCAGCATTTTAAATGTATTCCAAATGTACCCTTGGTTACCACTTACTTAGAGATATATTCTAAACAGTTTCTTTACAGTATAAGTGACATCAAGGTGTCATGTTTTTGTGAGAATGGTTTGTTTGCTTTTTCTAGTTTTCATTAAGCCACAGTCAAGATTTAAAGTGGCTGAAAATCTCGATTTTTCAAACTTTTCCGGCTGTTGCCATAGCAACCGAGACACATAGCAACGGAATTTTGTTTGATATTTGTTTCTGGTATCAAGTACTAAGCATGGGTGAAGTTTCATCAAAATCAGTCACCATGCGTGGCAACGAAGTTTAAGTGGTTACAGAGAATGGCTATTAAATCTATTCAAATATATTATAATACAAGTTTGCAAAAGCACAATTTCTAACAATATTCAGTTTTAATATGTTTAACAAACGAAAAGAAAAAAAAACATTTCCTTGTATTTTGGTGGTATCGAACCCACACCATAAAAAGCCTAGTTATATAAGGTTAGCATTACATGTATGTCTGGTGCTCTTTTTTTTATCTTTTATTTTCTTTTTACTTAAGTTTGTACATATTAAAAATATATGCCAGAACGTACTGTAATTCAAATGCAATTTTAGAGTCAGAGCTCTCACAAAACGAAATTAACACTCTGATCGGAGAAATGTGAAAATTTGTCTGGTGCTCTAATCACTGAGCCATTTCAGCCACAACAAAGTACGCTTTTTAAATACTATGTGTGTTTTTGTCCACGAATTTATTTAGATCTTTTCTCGTAATAACGAGATGATTAACTCGTAATAACGAGATCTTTTCTCGTAATAACGAGATAATTAACTCGTAATAACGAGATCTTTTCTCGTTATTACGAGATCTTTAATTTTCTCGTTATTACGAGATAATTAACTCGTAATTACGAGATCTTTTCTCGTAATTACGAGATCTTTTCTCGTAATAACGAGATAATTATCTCGTAATAACGAGATCTTTTCTCGTAATTACGAGATCTTTTCTCGTAATAACGAGATAATTATCTCGTAATTACGAGAAAAGATCTCGTAATTACGAGACAAAAATATTTTTTTATGTGGCCCTATTCGTCTTTCGTAAAAATGTCACAAATAATATAAAAGAATCTTTACTTGTATGGTCTTCAAATTTCATATCAAAATATTAGTCTGGGTGATTTTTCCGGACATTTCATTAAGTCACGGAGCAGCAAAATCTTCAACGTCACAGGCATTATAAAAAACATGTGATTGAGCTTTCCTTTTCTCAACATTTTCCCAAGAGTTCCTGTACAGTTTGAGTTACCTTATCTACTCAACATCCAAAGACTAATTCTTGTCAAGCTTAAAATCTGTTAAACAAGTAAATACGTTGGCCTTTTGAAAGAGGTCTTACGGTTAAAATTTCAATTTGCTATTTGTGGACGAATGTCACGAATACCCTAGTTTACTACATGTTTTATAATGGATAGTTTGGATCTATGTTGGCGATATCTCGAGCATTACACATAATTGAACAAAATGTGGTGCGCCGTCAATTCAGGAGACGTCATATTCACAGTCGTTTTCACGGGAATCGCATTAAAGAAAAATCACTATATTTCTGTTAGTACTTCAAAAATTACGTCAGAAATCTAAATACATGATAATAGAACAATTTAAAGATACATTTGAGAAAATTGTTAATGAGTTAAATTTTGGATTCTGCATGCTTTTGCTTCATTTTTTTTTTGTCGTGCTCCGTACCTCTCCATCAGCGATATCAAAACGCAAGTGAGTTAAGGCTATGCATGTATAGATCGAGGTTTATATGCAAAAATCTTATTAAAACCCATAATGACTATACCTACACAGAAAAAGTTAAGACTTATTGTTATCTAATACATTCTTGTTACTCACGACAAGCGATAGCCAGTACATATTATGACATCATATTATGACCTCATCGACCTCTACTACACAAGTTTATAGGCCTAAGGAACATATTTTTCTGTGCAACAAGTCACGCAGAATATTCTAAGGGTTTAAGATGTTGCTGCACAAAAGTCGACACTGTAAGTGTTTTGTTACTATTCCTATCGTTTTAGGTTGAAACAGGGTAAAAAGATATAGTCCAGTGTATGTTTCATAAAATTCTAATCGATTGAGAAAGTGCATAGGATTTGTGCAGCAATTTTATTGATTTTTAAAATAAGCTCTTTGATATTATACACTGTACATTGTTCATTTTAAATTAAATAGGTTATACCCTTGCGTCGACGTTGTTTTGTTGATGTGTTTTATCACTTAATTGGGAAAGAACAATGACATCATAATGTGTATTAGCTTTAACACGCTGTGGGTACTATTCATGAATAAATAAAATCAACTTGAACTTCTTCTGTATATAAAATATAAAAATTATGCATTTTTATTAGCTCATTTGCATAGAAATGCCTAATATATTAAACCTTAACTCACTGGCGCAGAATGTTAGTAGATTTTTTTTAAATACAGAAATTTTGCCCAAAATGACGTCTGTAAGAGTAATTAATACCACAGTCCGCGTAATTTCTAACGGCACTCGTACTGTAAATGCCCCGTGGAGATCCAGGTTAGAATAGGTCCTCAGTACCCCATTGCTTGTCGTAAAAGGCGACTAAATGGGGCGGTCCTTCAGATGAGACGGCATAAACCGAGGCCCCGTGTCACAGCAGGTGTGGCACGATAAGGATCCCTCCCTGATCAAAGATCGTAAGTGCCGAGCATAGGCCTAAATTTGTAGCCTTTCAACGGCAATGGTGACGTCTCCATATTGCTGAAATATTCTGCAGAGGGAACGTTAAAAAGTATAGAATCAATCATACTGTAAATAGTTAAACTATTAGATCAAATTACTCAGATAGAATAACTCGGATAGAGTAAGAGAAAAATTCCACCCATATAAGAATTATACGCAGGGGTACACGTTACAGTACTTTTGATAGCCTTTTTTCTAATTGATTAACTTAGCTTAGGATATCTTTGATAGTCATTGGCTTTTATTTTTGGGGGTCAGTCAGGGTATTTAAACCCATGTTCGTGTAGTTTTCTTCACTCGGGTTGGGGAACAGCAGCCTCATGGTTAGCCCCTCGTTACTGTACTAATAAAACCTCCTGGCTTAAGCGCACTTACATGTATTTTTAACTTAGCTTTAATTTCAAGTTTTTCACAAGTTCTCAGTTTTTTTTAGGAAACAGTTAGGATGTAGTTTTATAGATTAAATTTAGTGTCCCCTTTCTAAGTCCAGCCTGGTCTATAGGGATATGTGTAGATAACACGTTTATTTTCTAGAACTATTTATTATCTATTTTTGGGTGTTAGTAGAATTTATTTAGGGTGATGTAGCTCATTCCCTTTACATTTTCTCATCACATTGATTTTTATAGGAATTTTGACCATTTTTATTAGTATGGAAGCTCAGTAGGAACATAAATTATTTTTTATAGTTTTTCCACATTCCTCCCATTTTCTATTACATTTTTCAACAACTTACTTATTTACTGAGATTATTTATTGAGAGTATTGTGATTCACTTGCAAAATTAAATTATTTTTGATAAAGCTTTATTCAATCCTGTGCAATTGTCAAAGACTTTACTACTTGTTAATTTTGATCATTATTTATTATTTGTTATCATTTAACAAGGTTAATTCTCACTCTATTAAATTGATAAAACTTTACAACAGTTTTATTGTGTTTTCGTTTAGTGTTGATCATAGTTCAGAAATACCCTTACCTGGGTTGATCATTGAAACTGGAGATAGTTTACCCCTTTAAGCCAAGTTGGAAATTTATACACTAAAGAGTTCTACTCCCGGTTACAGTGTCATCGCTTAAAATTGAGTCAAATTTATTATTCGATAAAAACACTTACCCATATCTGTACATTCCTCGAGTTCTACTTTCATATCTTCCTTTTTGATCATGAATAACCGTAGGAATGGTTCACAATGAACAACTTTTTTCACTTCCTCTTGAATAAGACAACTTTTCCAATCTTCTTTAAATTTCTGAAATCCTTGTAACGACTCAAAATGGAAGGTTATAATAAGGCTCCCAATATCAACACTAAATTTTGCCTGATACTTTTTCTTAACGATAATAACAAAATGTGCAAATCTACTCATAATGCCAATTCGAACATCGTTTTGATCGTTAAAGGCGAGTTCAATCTTTTCTTCGAATTTATCTAGTAAATCGTTGAGGAAGACAATATCTTCCTTCCCTGAAGAATCTAAAAAGGCTGTTATATTATCTTCAATCCTGGAAATGTCTTGAACTTTTGTTTCCTTGTCAATGAAGTCTACCATTCTATTCAGAGTTTTTTTTAGAGTTTCCATCATTCTATCAACATTGTCTTTTGCTTCAGTTGATTCATTTCTTGGGAGGACATTAACTTTGAAGATTAACTGCCAACACCCTGTTTTGTAATTAATATTACAAAGTCTTAATTATAATAAATAAATATACTGCACAGTGTCTTGTTACAGTATTACAACAGAATCATTTGTAAAACATTCATTTCCGAATTGATTTTTTGTCGAAAGTGGGGGTTGGGTTCATTAAATAAGGTCTGTATGTCTGTCCGTCCGTCTAGCTCCATTTCTGTCTGTCTGTTACACTTTCATTCGCACGAAGTCTTTAACGAGGTTCGTTCCTCAGCTTTTCTGCATATTTTTATCATGACTTCTACTTAAGAGATTCTACATAATGTTTCAGTTCTTACAATAAATTTGGATTCTACATATGTATAATGCTATTAAACTAATTAGAACTTAATTTACAAGTTGTTACTAAATATTAGACTAATTATTTCTTTTATTCTGATAACATTTAATTCTTGTTGTATTCGTTAGAGCCCTTGGGCCTCTTGTTAATTTATAGTGCCGATTTTTATTTATTCTTGAATCTGTCTTGGATTTGGCCTGCCGTGAAAAGACCTTCATACCTTCTCCTTTAAGATTACATTTGGTATATTAATGTGATGTCCATAAACTATATTCAGCTAGATTTTACTTGCAAAGTTTATGTAGTTATTATCGTAAATTTGATTAAAAGTCTTTTTTCATTTTCGGTTAACTGCTTCGTTACATTAAACATGTAGAAAAAAAACGAGAGTACGGTGGAAGTTCCAGTTTGCATATCTACATGTAAGTTACAGACATATTTAAATGAAGCTGACAACAAGCAAAACATTCATAAAACGTCATCAATGAATTATTTATTCAAATCATGATTTAAGTGAAATAAAAGAAATAAGTTGTGATTACTGATTAAAAACCAAATGTGCACAATCTTTCCGTTATATCCGATCTCATTCTTGATTGAAAGCTCTAAAATACTGGATGACGTCGAACTCATTTTTTAAAGACCTATAGAGTGTTCCAAAGAACTAATGTGTCACCTGCTTTTTGCTTCTTTACAGATGTAACCAAAGCTAAAAGTAGTCAGCTATTATGTGCTGCTACTATATACTTTATTTTATGCCAAAAAATCTAGCATGATTATACTTCATAAAATTATTGCACAAAAGCCATCCATACATAGCATAAGACTGCGATACAGTCTAGCTGTTAATCAAACAAACATGATTCCTTACCCTTAAATGAAGGGTCACGAGATCGGTAACCATGGTAAATTTCAATTTTTTTAGTGCCAAGAAATAAATGTGCAAAATTGCAAGTCTATATATCTCTTACAGTTCTTGAGATACAAGGTGTGACATACAGACATATACAGGGTAAAGTGATCCCTTAGTGCCACTCTGCTCCGCAGGCAACACAAAAATTGCATGAAAATATTGGTAAAGTAACTGATAAAAACATCAGCGAACCCCCCTCCCCCTGAATCCGCCATGCACTGTAAGGAAGTAAAATACTAACACTTGTAAAGGTCTGTCATCTTCGACTTCAAATCCTGAACATCCGATTTTAAGGAAGATAATTCTTCTAAGACTGATTTGTCTTTTTCACTATCAAACTTCAATTTTTCAATATATCGACGTTCTTGATCTTCATCAATAGTCCTCTCAAGTATATTCTGTAGATTACTAGTGTACGAACCCCCTGTGTGAGATTGAAGCCTTCGGCATATGTCAGAAATCATTCTCCAGTTGTCTTCAAATTCATTCTTCGACATAGATGCTGATTTGACATGGCCATGCACTTTGTTTCGGACTATTCTTACTCTCTCTATATCATCACCAATGCCGACTTCTCCAGTTCCTGGAGGAGTTCCCCATTTTTTTGTCGGTGCTGGGATATTTGTGCATACATTCCTTAATAATGTATACATCAATGTTATGTCAAAATCGGCATAACCGTTTGTACAGGCATCCTTTAAGATCAATATCTGATCTGTGCTAAGCTTTTTAAAAACGTCTTGGGATGCTTTAACTTTGTTGAAAATGTGATTTGCTGGTACATGTCGTTGCAATAAATCTCTGTATACCTGAGTCAGTTCATCGATGATAGCCATTGATATTTTTGCGAACCGTGTCCGACCTCCTGGGTCTAATCCAAGAGCCATTTGTATGCTGACTTATAGTATCCGTGATATATACTCATAAAAAAAATCGTAATCGCTCTCTGAACCTTAGACACTTCTCAAAATCACAGATATGTTTTATAGGGCTTCTATTTCTAAAACGAAAGTACATGTTCACAAAAAGGACACACTAAATTAGTCCAGATACAAAAATGGGCCCTACATGCAGTCGAACATAAATTCAAAATGCACTTTTTTTTAAAATCGTAACTTTTTAAAGTATGATCAATTATTAGAACAAAGACTGATAATTCGACTCGAGATCCCGTGGGGAATTCCATGGGGTAAACAAACCAAATAACTACTCAATTAAACTTCAATTCTATTCAATTTAGATCTATTTATTGATTCACAAAGTTCAAGTTCAAGTTCATTTATTCACTCAAAACCATTTAAAGTACATGGTACATGAGGACAATGAAAAATATTTACAGCATATATACATTCAGGTCAGAGGTATAAGTATATGATATACATAATCATACAATGAAAAGGGAGAAAAAGAAAAAAATGGAGAAAAAATGAGGAAAAAACACGTATGATACATGTAATAATGAAATAAGTGAGAGAAAAATTATGGAGGACTGACTAAATCATATTTTAATTATAAACATACATATTTTTTTAAGTGACATAGCATCTTGTTTTGTCATCAGTTGAGAAAATTTAAGAATATTTGGCCTAGTAAAGTAGTATTTATTGACAGTGCAGTACATTCAAGTATAAAATGGAATTCATCAGCAACATGTTTAGCATTACAAAGTGTACATAATTTTTCATTTAATGGTATAAATGCCAATCTTTCCAGCTCAACTGGTAGACGATGATTAGTAGTACGGAATTTTACAAGTATTTTTTTTTCTAAATTTTAATGGCAAAATACTTAAATAATTTTCACACTCAAATTCTGTCTTAAAAATTTTATACAAAGTCCCTTTAGAAGAACTATTAATATCAGAATGCCATTTTTGTATAAATTGATCTTGTAATATTTATTTAACAACAGTTACTGTAGTAACCAAGTCTTGATTAGGATTATAATAAAACTGTTCATTCTAAATATAAGAAAGCCCACGGGAGTAAAAAATATTATGAACACAGTCAATCCAAGGATTCTTACCAACATGTTGGTACAGTCATGTTACGTAGATAAAGACATACACTCAAGTACGATTTCAAAATAAATGCGTTAAAAAAATTTTATGGGTGTGCAGAAATTCTCATCAGTTTGTACAGTTTATCAATTTCAAGTAGTCTTGTAATTCATAGTTCTTTTAAATTTGACTGAAAAAATAATATTTTACCACGTTTGGAGAATGCAATGTTCTGAAGTTGCAAATTAAAAATTTTCAAGTAAAAAAAATATCAAGCAGCTGATAAATGTGTTATCAGTTATATCTGATATTATTATTAGTCCCCTACTCGTAAAAACGGAGGGGACTGTAGGTTTCCTCTGGGTCTCTCCGTTCGTCAGTCAGTCTGTCCCTCTGTCTCTCGTTCCCACTTGGTTTTCCGCACTTTTTTTTTAACACTTGCAGATATTGAGCTGAATTTTGGTATGTGAGTGTATCTTCAAGAGTTACAAATCAAGTTTGAATTTCGTTTCGCTTTTCACTGGTTTTTGATGAAATTATGGCATTTTTAATCTTTTATATGATTTAAGATCGTGTTAATTCGTACCTCACTAAATTAATTATTCAAACGAGATAATCATGTTAAAAATTATTGATTGAACACTTGCTGGGTATCTTTATTTCGAAAACCTACATGTAGATAGAATGTTCTATCGTTAAATGATATAAAAATATATCCTTCGGACCTGGTAGAGAACAGGGGAACCTGGTAGGGGACATGTATTGCTTATGCAATACTCTCAGAATGCTTCTTATATAAGTAGGTTGTCGTCTTCTATGAAAGCAGCAATAAGAATTTGCTGCTTTCAAATGCCATTTTCATTCTTAAGGTTTTTTAATTTCGTGAAGTATTTGAACATAGAGATGAAAGCTCGGAACAAATAGGGAGTGTTCCTAGCTCATATTTAATGGCTAAAACTTTTTGACTCGGTTCCGCAATACTTTTACGGAAAGAAATGTAAGGTATGAGTGTAAATATTATAAAACAAAAGGCCCATGGGCCTTATAGGTCACCTGAGCATAATTCAACAACTTTACAACGATTGACTTTGGTTTATATTTTAAACTAGACGTCATGGCATTCACAATTTTGAAAGAAGCACCATTGCTAATCATAACTATACACTTAGCATGTTTAGTTTACACATTTCACAATTTTGGAAAAGGCACCCTTGCTTATCAAAAATAGTTGATTAATACAAAGGAGAAGATTTCAATCAATTTATTCATTTTCAGTATATAAGTAGAGCCCCCCCCCTTTTTATGGTACCCCTGACCCAGGGGCGTTGAAATTTACAAATCAGGAAGAATGGCCGTGCTCATCATAGCTATATAGGTAGTTCATCTGCTTAATACCCAGGAGCAGAAAGGCAGATTTTCAAACAATTTCTGCATTTTCTCTATTTAACAAATACAGCCCCGCCCTAACAACAGAACACCTGACCCTGGGGTCATAAAATTCACAAAGGTATTCTTCCACATCATAACTATGTACTTAGTTAATTTATTTAATACCCAGGAACAGAAAAGAAGATTTTAAAAGAAATAATGTATTTTCACTATATAATCAATAGAGCCCCACCCTAAGACCAGAACCCATGACCCTGGGGCCATAAAAATTCACAATTTTGGAACAGGCATTCTTGCTCATCATAACTATATACTTAGTAAGTTTATTTAATACCCAGGAGCAAAGAAGATTTTCAAAGAATTAATGTATTTTCACTATATAAGAAATAGAGCCCCACCCTAATACCAGAACCCCAGACCCTGGGGCCATAAAATTCATAGTTTTGGAAGAAGCATTCTTGCTCATCATAACTATATACTTATTTAATTCATTGAATACCCAGCATCAGAGAAGAAGATTTTCAAACAATTTCTGCATTTTCTCTATATAATCAATGGAGCCCCACCCTAGGACTAGAACCCCTGACCCTGGGGCCATAAAATTCACAGTTTTGGAAGAAGCATTTTTGCTCATCATAACTATATAATTAGTTAATTCGTTGAATACCTAGGAGCAGAGAAGAAGATTTTCAAACAATTTCTGCATTTTCTCTATATAATCAATAGAGCCCCACCAGAGCCCCTGTCCCTGGAGCCATAAAATATTCACAATCTTGGAAGAGGCATTCTTTCTCATCATAACTATATCCTTAATTAGTTTGTTGAATACCCAGCAGCAGAGAAGAAGATTTTCAAACAAATTCTGCATTTTCTCTATATAATCAATAGAGCCCCGCCCTAACACTAGAACCACTGACCCTGGGGCCATGAAATTCACAATTTTGGAAAAGGCATTCTTCCTCATCATAAATATGTACTTGGTTAGTTTATTTAATATACAGGAGCAGAGAAGAAGATTTTTAAAGAAATAATGCATTTTCACTATATAATCAATAGAGCCCCACTCTAGCACTCGAACCCCTGACCCTGGGGCCATAAAATTCACAATTTTGCAAAAGGCATTCTTCCTCATTAGAACTATGTACTTACTTAGTTTGTTTAATACCCAGGAGCAGAGAAGAAGATTTTTAAAGAAATAATGCATTTTCACTATATAATCAATAGAGACCAGCCCTAGCACTCGAACCCCTGACCCTGGGGCCATGAATTTTACAATTTTGGTAGAGGACTCAGTGATCATTACATTCATACTAACAGTTTGACTGCTTGATGTCCAGGAGTAAAGAAGAAGATTTTTAAAGATTTCAATAATTTTAGTGGTTTTGGTCCCACCGCTCAGGCCCCAGGGGGGAGGGACCATGAAATTCACAATTTTTGTTCCCCTTCACCCATAGATGCTTTGTGTAAAATTTGGTGGAAATTGGTTGAGTGGTTGCAGAGAAGAAGCTGAAAATGTTCAAATTTTAACACACGAGGAACGACGCACGACGACGGACGAAAACAGATAGCAATAGGCCACCTGAGTTTACTCAGGTGACCGAAAATATTATATTTATCTCGAAAGAATAAGCAATTCACAATGGTAGCATCTGTCATGGCTTTATTTTCTTTTACATGGGGTCATTACGTAATTATACCCGAACTTTATAAAGAAAGTTCGGGTATATTGTTGTTACTCATGTCCGTCCGCGTCCCTCTGTCACACTTTTCTTCTCTAAACTCATCCTACATTTTACACAGTAGCTTAATCATCTTTTGGGAGGTGGTTGGTGGTGTCATGTAGATGTGCAGTATTGCTTCGGAATATCTATTTTGCCCCGGGGGGGGGGGGGGAGGGTCAAATGGGGGTCGAAAAATGACGTTTTTTATGCAAAAAGCCCCGTCTTCCCCGAACTCCTCCTACATTTTACTCAGCAGCCTAATCATCTTTTGGGAGATGGTTGGTGGTGTCATGTAGATGTGCAGTAAGGTTTCGGTATTTTGATTTTGCCCCAGGGGGTCAAATGGGGGTCGAAAAATGTTTTTTATGCAAAAAGCCCCGTCTTCCGTGAACTCGTCCTACATTTTACTCAGCAGCCTAATCATCTTTTGAGAGATGGTTGGTGGTGTCATGTACATGTGCAGTAAGGTTTCGGTATTTTGATTTTGCCCCAGGGGGTCAAATGGGGGTCGAAAATGACATTTTTTATGCAAAAAGCCCCGTCTTCCCTGAACTCGTCCTACATTTTACTCAGCAGCCTAATCATCTTTTGGGAGATGGTTGGTGGTGTCATGTACATGTGCAGTAAGGTTTCGGTATTTTGATTTTGCCACGAGGGGTCGAAAAATGACATTTTTTTAATGCAAAAAGCCCCGTCTTCCGTGAACTCGTCCTACATTTTACTCAGCAGCCTAATCATCTTTTGGGAGATGGTTGGTGGTGTCATGTAGATGTGCAGTAAGGTTTCGGTATTTTGATTTTGCCCAAGGGGGTCAAA